CAGAGAGTTGGACAATGACTAGGGAGGACAGAAGGAAAATTGATGCCTTTGAGCTGTGGTGCTGGAGAAGAGTATTGAATGTACCCTGGATGGCCAAGAAAACAAACAGATTCATCCTGGAGAGGGTTAAACCAGGCTGCTCCTTAGAGGCAAGGATTCTGAGGCTTCATCTGACATACTGTGGACATGTTGTAAGGAGGGAGAGGTCCTTGGAGAGGGACATCATGCTTGGGAGGGTGGAGGGATGGTGTAGAAGGGGAAGACCCTCTATGAGGTGGATTGATTCAGTGACTGGGGTAATTTGGATGGGAGTGTCAGAGGCAGTGAGCTTGGCACAGGATAAAGCAGGGTTTAGGGCTGTTTAGGATTGCTATGAGTCGCAAGCGACTTGACGGCACATAGCAACAACAACAACATAAATTATATGGAAAGAGACTGTCCATTTTTCTTTCATTGAGTAACTAAGAGATTCTCGCTCTGGCCTTTGGGTTACTTCCAAGAGGTCATTAACTAAGTGCAACAAACAGAGGTAAAGGCCTTTTAATTCCCAAATAATTCAAAGTAAGAAAAGGGATTCAGCAAGAAAGGTAAGTCTGAGAAAGTACTGTGAGCCAAGTGCCAAATATGAATTAGCCAGGTGGACATGGGGACACTGATGGTGGACTACAACACAGATGGGACATTTTCGAAGAGAAGATGATTGCAAGCTGGGTCTAAAAGTACAAAGAGAAGAATCAGAAAAGGGTATGGTGCTATGGAGTTATTTAAAAGCAAACACTATCGCAAAATTAGTTTTAAGGATAAACTTCTGTTCTCAAGTATCAACTGCCTAAGAATAGTGAGCTTAAAGTACCTGGTGTACAGCATGTCTCTTCTTAGAAAGGCTGCTCCACACACACCAGAACTAGTCCCAAGAATCCCAAGCCGTCTCACCAGGTCTCTGTCTCCAGCCCAGTGTAGGTTCCCACGACCACCCTGCATCCACCTTAGTAAGGGGCTCTGAAGCTCTGAGATAGCTGGCTTCTCACCTAACATTATGCATCCAGGATACTGACCTCACCAGGAGAAATCATCTGTACCTTTATTTATCAAATAACGTGACCAATGGTCATTTGAAAAATTGAAAAGTACAAAAATCACATATAAGGAATCAATGTAATCAACAGTCATTACAGCAAATGGACACTCTGAGAATTAAAGTAACATGAAAAGTTTTAAATATTCTGCTACTGGATTCTAGATTACTTCTATCTTGCATATTATTAAGTTTCCCTGAAAATGCTAATAATGTGTGTAATAATAGGCAAAGGCACAGGAACAATGTCAAAGAAGGCAGTTTAAAAAAAAAAAAAAAAAAAAGGAGCAACCCACGTCCCTCCCAGAGCAAGAGCCATTTTAGCATTTCCTGCAATGATACATGTGAGTAATGTCCTCAGCAATGGAAACTATGGAGGACATTTAGGTCCATTTGTCCCTTTACTCAGAGCCTAGGTCATGCAATCAGATTTCATCAGAATTTGGGACTTTCCAGAAAGTCTTATTTTGTTAGGCCTAGGTTAAAACAGGAAGTTCTGGCAGCATAGTCTTTAGAGCACAGCACAGTTAACTCAAAGGCTATGTCTCTCTTGTGGTTGTAAAATATCAGTGGCTCTGCAGAAGAAAGACAGGCTATCTCCTCTCATGAAATAAACAGCCTCAGAACCAACCGGAGGAAACCCAATGATCAATAGCTATGAATCAGTTCTGACTAGATGGTAATGAGTACAAGGTCCCTGCAGTCCTCCCCCCACCTTGTATTTCTGGTCCTAAAGAAGACATGTAATAGAGAAGAAGAAAGAAATTCAGGGTAGAAATCGTACCTCCTTTCGTCCACGCAATGACTGGCTGTGGATAACCTTTTGCTTCACACTGGAAATCAACTGTCTGACCCTCAATAACAACTCGGTCCTGAGGAGTCACAGTGAACTGAGGAAGAGCTTCCAGGAGAAAAAAAATTATTTAAAGCATGAATTTTTTAAAAAATAGCATCAGGTAAATATGCCACAAATCAAAGCTAATATTTAAGAATTCTTTTTCATCCTAGAGAAGTACACTTCTATAAGTTACAAGAAAATAATCAGAGTTATAACAGGATATCTTACTGCTATGTGCAATGTGTTTGATGGTATGAAAAGAAAACAGCATAAGAAATAAAAGATAGAAAGATTATCAGGCTATGACTATTAGAATTATACTGCAAAAGTATACAAAACATTCATTTAACAAGATATCCTGTAAGCAAGAGTACTGAACAATGTCATAACAAATTTTGTGAAAACATTGATGACTTAAAAATATCTCATTCTTCAGCTTAAATGAACACTTGAAAATAATTAGAAAATTCCATCTAGTACATCTGTGTTTACTTATTACAAGTTTCTGTCTCATTCTTTTTATCAGTGGGAAAAAAATCAAGTTCCACAATAGTTCTAGTATGATTCCATTTTCATATAAAAAAAACCACATAGCCTGAATGAATATATATACAGATTTAAAAAAATAAGAAAATTGGATTAGTAAGAAATTGCTATTAAAGTAGCTATCCCTGTTATTGTTGTTAAGTGCCATCGAGTATAGACAACTCATAGCGACCCTATAAATAAAAGACCTGAACACTTGTAATAACTTTCATCATTTCTCCAAGTTCATAGAGTTTCCAGAGGCAAGCTCTTTCAGAAGTGGATGCACTCCTGCTTCCAAGCTTGTTTTAATTGGGGAGAGAGCTTTGTGGGTCTCAAGACAGAAAGTGATGATACCAAGCCAAAGGTGGATAATTTGAATCTGTAGCTCTCAGGCCTGGTTTTAATTGCTTTTGGTCAAACATTCTTCTAGGTGGTATAGCACTGGTCTGTTCACTTGCTGTACAGAGGTAACTCGTGGTTGCTGTGATGCTAAACACTGTGACACTGATATGTCAAATGAGATAATGTTTACTCATGGTGGACAGGGTTTGGTGGAGCTCCCCAATTAAAACAAGCTTGGAAGTAGGAGTGGTATCTACTTCCAAAACAGCTTGCCTCTGGAAACTCTATGAACCTGGAGAAATGATGAAAATTTCACAAGTGTTCAGTTCTTTGGTTCACAAGGTTTCTATGAGTCGTCTACGGACTCAATGGCACTGAACAACAACAACAAAGCTATCTCTGGAGAAAAGAAATAGTGGCTGAAGAGAGGAGTAAGGAAAGAGACAATTTTTTTCATATTTTACACTTTCAGAATGTTTCAATGTTTTTCAATAAATGTCTCATTTTGCAATTTATTTTAAAACTTAAACACTCATTTTACTAAGCAATTTGGAAATACATGGCAGTCTTTAATATAAAAACGAAAGAAAATATTATGTCCAAAATTTGCCTCAGCAAAGTATTCAAAGATGCACTCAAGACCATTAATCCAGTCCACATATATGTGCATAGCTATGTGTTCATATGGATATTGACTCATTCCACAAAAATTTAGACATACCAGGTGCTCTAGTTACTAGGAATGCTGTAACTAGAAAAAGTAAAGTCTTTTTATTAATGGAGCTCCAGTTTGGGGTAAAAAATATCTCCAAGTCATAGCTAGAAAGTTAAACAGTAGTAGTTAAACCTAAAACAAATAAGGAGAAAGAAGAGTACTAAGATGTAATGATAACCGGGAGAGAAAAAAAGCAAGAAGGCAAGCCATGCTGTGAAAAACTACAATGTCTTTACTTTTCTCGAAACTCACCTTGTACAATGATAAAAGCTGTGGCATGAATGCTGTCAATGCTGTTGGATGCAAAACAAGTGTACTCCCCACTGTCTTCCTGAATGACATTTTGTATATAAAGGCCACCAGAAGGAGTGATGTTGACTCGAGGGTCACTTGGTAAAGGTGTTCGATCACCTTTTGTCCAGGTGATCCGTGGCTGAGGGTGACCTGTGGCACTGCATTCTAAAGTAACACCTTCTCCAACCAATACTTCTGTGTTCTGGGGCTGTATTACAAATGTGGGTCGAGCTGTCACAATTGAAAAGAGGAAAAAGACAATTCAAAACATTTTGACTCATGTTCATTGAAATTAATAAAAAAAATTACACTAGTTCCTGCCAAGCAAAATGTAGACACCCTGTGAGAAATAAGCAATTATGATTGATTGGTAAGAGCCAAATGTCTTCTTTACATAGTCTACTGTACTAAAAATTCTAACATTTGTTTGTTCTAAACATATTATAGGAATCTTTCTAGTATTCTTTTAACCTAGAGCACTCTTTTTAAAGGTAATAGAATTTAGAGTATACTAAAAAAAAATTCAATTTCACTTATAAAAATAAAAATGCAACTTATGAGTACATGCCGTATTTTTAAACTCTACAGAAAACCTTAAACGCTTATTAATGCACTTTTTTTTAGATAAGACAGACAGTATCTGTAGGGAGAGAAACAGCTCAGGGCACGTACTGCATTATCTATTAGCTGTCAATTGAAAGAGTAGTTATTCAAATATAGCAACTACTCCACAGAAGAAAATGAGTGGTCTCTTTACATAAAGATTCCCAGTCTCAAAAACCAGCTAGAAACTCAAAATAAGTTAGAATCAATTCAGTGAGCTTTTTGTTATTAGGAGAAACAGTGACTTAACCAAAATGAAGGGTAATAATGGCTATCCAGCTCAAAATTAAATTGACATTTTTACCTAGTTCTGAGAATTTATTCCATAGATATTTTCACATGCATGTAAAAAGACACAAGGCAAGTGATTCCCCTACCCCCATTACCATTATTTCTTCAGATCAGCAACCCTACTCCAAAATTTTGAAATTAAGCAATTACCTGCACAAGTAGAAAAGGTATGTTGTTGCTATTGTTGTTATGTGTTGTTGAGTTACCTGCAACTCAAAGAGACCCTATGTACACCAGTCCTAAAACCTGCTCTATCCTTTGCCAATCTTATTGTCTCTGACACACCTACCTCCCCCCCCCATTATCCAGTTACTGAATCAATCCATCTCACTGAGAGTCTTTCTCTCTTGCACTGTCCCTCCACCCTCCCAAGCATCATGTTTCTCTCTAAGGACTGGTTCCTCCTTGCAACATGTCCAAGGTATGCCAGATGAAGTTTCAGAATCCTTGGCTCCAAGGAGCAGCCTCGTTTAACGCTCTCTTGGACAAACCTGTTTGTTCTCCTAGCTGTCAATAGTATATCCAATACTCTTCTCCAGCACCATAGCACAAAGCCATCAATTATCCTTCTATCATCTTTGGTCACTGTCCATCTCTCTGATGCATAGCAAGTAATTGCAAAGGCCATGACCTGAAACAGGCACACCTTAGTCTCCATCCTGACATTACTGCTCTTCAGTATGTACTGTAATTGATGTTACAAAATAAAATTTGTATGAATAATGTTTGGGAGAGAGGAAGACCCTGGATGAGATGGATCGATTCTGTTAAGTGGAGTGGTGGGAATGAGTCTGTGTTTGAGACAGCGAGGTTGGCACAGGACAGAATGGCATTTAGGGCCCTTGTACATAGGGTCATTATGAGTCGCAAGCAACTTGATGGCACATAGCAACAGCAATAACATGAATAATAGAAAACCAACTTCTCTGTAGACTTACACTCAACCACAATTTGAATGAACAGAAACATTCCTCAATTGCTTTTCCACAACTGTATAATTTTACATTTGACATTAGATGCTCTCTGTTGTTGTTAGGTGCAGGTAAGTTAAGTACAACACATAGTAATCCTGTGAACAACAGATCTGAATTCTGTCCTTTCTTGTGCCATCCTCACACTTTCTGAACCCACTGGGGCAGTCACTGTGTCAATTCACCTGTTTAAGGGTCTTCCTCTCCTTTGTCATCGCTCCACCTTTCCAAACATGATATACTTCTCCAAGGAATAGCCTCTCCTTGCAATATACCCAAAGCATATGAGAAAAGGGTTCATTGTCTTGCCTCCAAGTAGCACTCTGGCTGCACCTTCTCCAAGATCTATCTGTTCTTTTGGCTGTTCATGAGATATACAGTACTCTTCTCCAACACAACAGTTCAAAGGCATCAATTATTCTTCTGCCATCCTTACTTAGTGTTCAGCTCTCAGATGCATGGCAAGTGATTGAAAAGTTCATGGTCTGAATGAGGCACATCTTAGTCCTCAAACTAAAATCACTGCTCCTCAGTAATTTCTAGAGGTCCTTGACTATAGACTTTGCCAGTACAACATGACTCCTGATCTCCTGACTGCTGGTACCAAGTATATTTACTGACTGTGGATCCAAGTAAGATGAAGTTGTTGGCACTTTCAATCTGTTTTCCATCGATCATGATGTTACCAACAGGTCAAGTGGCAAGAATTTTTGTCTTCCAGATGTTGAGATGCAATCCATACAGAAGGCTTCAGTGTTTGATTTTCTGCAGCAAAAAAACAACCTCGCCTGCCGAATCTAAGGAGGACTTGAAAGAAGTGTTTACTGCAGAAGGCCAAGAACTGCTGTCTTCAATATTTATGCATCTCAACATAATTTAACCATGGGGCCAATTGACAACATCATGATAAATGGAGAAAAGATTGAGGTTAACAATTTCATCTTGCTCATATCCATTCTTGGCCCCAGCAGTAAGAAAATCAAAAGATAAGCTGCTTTAGGGAATTCTGCTGTCAAGGGTAATCCAAAAGTAATAAAGAGCAAGGATGTCAGTCTAAAGACTAAGGTGCACATGATCCAGGCCATGCTCTTCTCAACTGCTTATTATGCATCTGAGAGTTGAACTAAGGATGACAAAAGAAGAACTGATGCCTTTGAGTAGGGTTTCTGGAGAGTACTGGACTGCCAAGGAACAAACAGGTCTGTCTTGCATAGGGTAATACTGGTTTACTCATTAGAAAAAAGGATAGTAAAATTCTGTTTCACATACTTTGAGCATATTTCTAGGATTTGCTATACCTTGGAGAAGGACATCATGCTTGAAAGGGCAGAGGGTCAGTACAGGAGAGGAAGATCCTGGATCAGATAGCTTACACAGTGATTAAGACAATGGAGGCAGGTATGTCAGAGACAGTAAGATTGGCTCAAGATAGGGTACAGTTCAGAGCTGTTGTTCATAGGGTCGCTATGAGTTAGTCAATCAGACAGGACTTAACAACGATACTATACATGTAGTTGTTACGTGCCATCAAGTTGCCTAAGACTCAGAACAACTTTATGTACAATAGCTCTGAACTCTGCTCTATCCTGAGCCAATCTTACTGTCTCTGACATACCTACCCTCATTACCCTAGTCTCTGAGTCAATCCATCTCATAGAGGGTCTTCTTCTCTTGAGCTGTCCTTCCACCATCCCAAGTATAATGTCCCTATCCAAGGACTGGTTCCTCCTTGCAGCATGCCCAAATATGTCAGATGGAGCTTCGGAATCCTTGCCTCCAAGGAGCAGCCTGGTTTTACCCTCTCCAGGACAAACCTGTTTGTTCTCTTAGCAGTTCATGGTATATTTAACACTGTTCTCCAGCACCACAGCTCAAAGGCATAAATTCTTCTATCATCCCTTGTACAATGCATATTGTCCACCTTTCTGATGCACAGCATGTAACTGTGAAGAGCATGGCCTGGATCAGGCACCCCTTAGTCTCCAGATTGACGTCACTGTTCTTCATCTCTGGAGATGTCTCTGACAGCCAAACCTCCCCAGTGCAATTAGTCTTTTATAGAAATTTGCTCGATTAAGATCTTTTCTCCCCAGCAACATTGTATTTCTTTTCCTTTTCTCTGACTTGAAATCTCATAGAAATTTCCATTCAGTAATAAATATTAGCTAGTAACAAAATCCAAAGAGAGCAAGACTCCTGAATATGAAGGATCAAAAAGAAAACATGATACAAAACGGAGTTGCCAGAATGCTGTAACATTCATGTAAGAGAGGACCAGAAATAAAGACAAGGAGCTATGCTGCCAACCCAGAGTCATGTGGGCCAAATACACCAGTTCCTTTGTGGGAGAAAGATGGGCAATTTCCTGCCATGTGCTTTACTGCCTCTTCAAATCTGCTGGTGGCAGAGAGGGGGCACGTATCAGCCTGGGTTGGCTCTAACTCGACTCTACCTAATAACTCACCAAATAGCCACACAAAGGACTCTGTAAAATTAAACAAAAACAGAAGCCACTCTCAAACCCACTCAAGTCAAACTGATTCTACTCACAGTAGTTCTCTACTTAAGCGTTTTGAAGGCTATAAATCTTTCTCAGGGAATTATGGTCTCTAGGAAGTTGTACTGTTAACCCAAAGGTGGTGCCTCTGTGGAGGTTCTAATCCACTGGCGGCTACAGGAGACACAAGTGCAATCTCTTCCCATGTGTTGTGCAGCCTCTGATATCCCACCAGACGCCTACCTTTCTCCTACAATGTGGCTGGTGGATTTGAAATAGCAGTTGGATTTAATCTCTGGTTTTCAGCCCAACATGTTACATGCTACACCATCAGGGCTCCTTAACAGAACTTCTATTTGTGTGTGTGTTTTAATTTTTGTTTTAATAATTTTAATGAAAGTTTACAGAAACTTTGGAATTCCATTTATTCATTGTTGCACTTTTCTCCCTGCCCAACCTCCCACCACCCCAGTTAATTCTCTCTTTGAAAAGTGAAAGAAAAATTATTTCATTGTTAGACAATCCCTCACCCCAAGTCCACTCCACTATGCAGCCTTCATTCTGGACTCCTGTCATGACAATAATACCTAATCATATAACCCTTTTAAACAGTTCTTTCTTTCTCTGTTTCAATGCAGAATACAAAATTTATCCCATCTTTCTCAGTCTTCTCCCAACCCAGATGTCAGTCCCATTTTACAACACTGCCACTATGCAGTATTTGTCCTTTTGTGGCTGAGATATTTCACTCAGCATAATGTCCTCCAGGGACACCCATTTTGTATAGTATTTCATGAGTTCCTCGTTTTTCAATGCAGCATAGTATTTCATTATGTGAATATACCACAGCTTGTCTATCCATTTGTTTC